GGAGACACTGGAACCATGGCTGAGCAAAGTGGCCACTGTCATTTGGCTTCCTTCTCAGCTTACCTCTAGGAGAACATGCCAGGGAGAAGCAAATAGCACTTCCCTATGTGTCTCATGGGTTGCTCCTGGGCTGTAATCAGACTGGTTGTGACACCCAGAGAAGACAACCTCTTGGGAAACAGTTACTTTGCCTCAGCAAAAAATGGCAGCCCTCTTCTCTTTTTATTTTTAGTCCACTGGGCTTTGCCCTGAGAGTTCACAAGCATATATATAAAACTCAACAGTATTCCTGTTTTAAGGATAAAATAAAAATCTGCCACATGCCAGAAACTGGGGCCTGGAGCCAGAGTTAGCAGTTTGTAAGCTTTGAAGTAAAAGGGATTTTTCTCCCACTTTACTAGCAATGAAAAGAACTTTAAAGTAATATCACCACAGTTGGTGAGGAGCATTCTCTGTGGTGTGACATAATGTCTTTAGTGTAATTCCCTACCTAGAAACCTAGCTGTCTTGAGACACTCGCTGGTCGTACGTGGCTGTGTCTCATGCTAACTCTGCCCATGAAAATCGCATCTACCGTGAATGTTTTCAGCAGATCATCTACTCCCGAACAAGCGAAGACATGACAATAGCGTATTTCAGAATTTTTGAGTAGTGTTTTTCACACTTTAGTGTGGAAAACTACCTGTATATTTATTAAAATTCAAGTGCTGAGGCTCTATACCCACAGATTCTGATTCCATGTGTGTTTGTGTGTGATTATGTGGACACATATTTGGAGGGGTGATCTTACCAAACAACCCAGATAATTCCAACACAAGTGGCCAGTGGACCATGGACCTTTCCCAGAAACATTCCATCTAGACCCTTAATGTTGAAATTCTTTGGTTGAACCAACTGAGAGTTGAAAGCACAGTAACAATTCTGTGTGAAGGTCCAAAAATCATGTGTCATTCAAGGAAATAGAAGAGCATGGATGTTTGCAATTTATCCCACGTATTTCATTATTTGTCACTCAGATCTTCACTTCAATCCTCTGAGGGAATTAGAGTGAGAATCCTAGTCTGACTGTGGATTGGGAAATCACGGCCGGTTAAGTAACTTGCCCAAAGGTATGTGGCTGAAGCCATGGCTGGAGTGCAGGTCTGACTGAGGAGCAGAAGGTGGGTGTGATGGTACCTCTCACACACTCCTGAAGTCACAAGCTCTGGGAAGAGCATTTTAAATAAATAGCATCAACAGACTACTGTTGAGAAGTCATGAACCAAAGGAACCTTGTTATTTTCTACCTTCAAGCATCTGCACCACTAGGATGTTCTGTATGGTGTGTGGTGGTGCCACAGAGGGAAGCAACACTCATGGTCCCTATGGAAACCGCCATCACCCTCTTGTGCATAGCTGAAGGTCTTGGCACTGATCAGGACAGAAGCTGAGTTTTTAATTTCCTATAAGCCTAAGTGTGGGCCTAGAAAAATGGAAAAGCAAGGTGATCTTTAAAACCCCATGCATGTTGCATATTTTCAGGGGAGGAAGTGTACACAGGACTTTTTTGATTTTAGAAACTTGGACTATGGCTTCCTGGTTCCTTTATTTGGTAGGGATTCACACAACACATCACAAGGTGCCCTAGGGAAAATAAAAACTCTTTGACAGTGGACAACAACTTTTTAATTTTATAGCCCTTCTTCTTGCTTGACCTCAAGGGAAAACCTGCATTCCCCCTATGAGAAAAACTCCAAATATAATGGACAAGACAAAGAAATATTTAGGCACACTTGTTTAGGAAATCCCTGCAGAAACAATGCATCTTTTCAACAGTTGAAGATGTTATGCAAAGACTGAGTGCTTTGTGTGTGTCAAATCCATCTTTGGCTCTCGGATGAGAAGACTTTGCAGTTAGACACTAGCTTAATTCTGAAACTCTGAAAAACAATGTTCCTTTGCCAAAAACTTCTGCATAGTCAATGACAAAAAAAAACTGGTGATAAAAACCACTAGAAATGTTTTTGACATAGTAAGTTTTAAGAAAAAGAAAATTCCTTACTCCTAAGACCACCCAACCCAGAGCACAAGGAATAGACAGGCTTTTTTAAAAAATAATACTGGAGCTCAGACTTTAATGTGAGCTACATCCCAGCTGTCTCTTCTCTTTTTTTTAAGTCTTTTTCTAAGCAAGAGTCTTGCTGATTCTCTAAATTGCCCAAGCTGCACTCAAAGTTACAATCCTCCTGCTCAGAGTGCTGGGATCACAGGTGAGAGTCACCACACCCACTGGCGTATTTTTAATAGTCTCCCCAAAAGGAGTCAATTCATTTTACTGACTACCCCTGAGCCCAGTTGCTGTCTCTGTTAATGGCATTTAATTTCTCCCATGTTAGCAGAAAGCCTTTCTGAAATGTCAAGTTGGCCTTACCCAAGTGATTCTTCCAAAATGTTAAAAAAATATTTAATACTTCCCTGTCATTTTTCAAAGAATCAACAAACTATTGAATCAAAAGAGAGTGGCAGATGGTAAGCAGAGGTGTTAAAGCTTCTGCTTATGAGAGACCAAAGACGTACACTGTTTTCCACATCCTTTTCCCCTGAAGAGCTCCTCTCTAGAGGCACACCAGAGATAACCAGATCTTTAAATGCTAAAGACTACATTAATCCTCTCATTCCATGCCTAATGAGAACCTTAGTTTTACCTGGCTGTGTTTTAATTCAAAATAAAGTCATTTACCTCCTGTTAAAACCAATCAACCAAAGCAAAAGTTTTATTTGAAAGTGAAATGTACCTTAATGTGATCACTTCTTTGCTCCTGGATGGGAGGAAGGGCTCACTAAATTTCTACTGGTTATAAAATCTATAAGGATGGTTACACAAAATCACTTAAGCACAGGGTTATATTCTGAAGTTCATGATGAGGCTCAGCGACCATGGAGGGCACTTGCACCAAGGAGGGTGGCTATCACATCACTAGGCCATATAATTTAATCGCACTGCCCCTAAATGCATGATGTCTACTGTCTGAAATGTCACTATGCACTGCATGGCAGTATGTAAGCACCATTAAGCTGAGCACTGGAACCCCATAAACCTTACTGGCCCAGTGAGAAGGTAGGCACATTAGTGACTGTCTGGTAAATTTATTCTTTGGTACTTGGATGGGATTGAAAATCAGCATCCAACCTAATATTCCATACACATCAGAATCAGAGTTACTGAAGCAAATTCCCTATAGCGGGGCTCACTAGAGCAGGACTGCTGAAGACACAGAGGAGCTTTCAAAGGAGTGACTTTGCCTGCCAGTCACACACCAACTGACCCCATCATGTCAACTGTCACTCTCCTCTAGTTTAGCAATCTGTCTGTGACAATTGGTAAAAGCCCTATTCTTTGTTCTGTAAAGCTTTCCAAATACAATTGGAGCAGAACCACTCTTTCTTAGAAGGAGACTACACCACCCAGATATTGTAAGCTTCCATGCCTTAAGATATGATGGACACTGGATGTTCTCCAGGGTTTGGCTTGTGGGAATAAATCACATTTCTTTGCAGTGGAATCCATTGCTTTAAATTCACAAAGTATCTTTGTTGGGAAGTGTTCATTCTGCTGTACAACACTCTTGTGGGTGCATTTAATCAATATCCTACAATTTCCTCTGCCTGCTCAGATTGGAAAAGGAATGAAAAGCATGCTAAGCATCCTATATCTGTCCTTTCTCCTTACAGAAAGCAAAGATGTATCTGAGAAGACACAGGCCCACTCCTGCAAGCCTGGTTATCTCCCAGGCCGTGGATGTCCTGGGTACTCTCAGGTATTAATAACTCATTCCCAAGTGAGATCACAGCAGGGCAGGAATCCATACCTGGAGAAACCCAGGCATTTATATTCATTCATGCAGTGAGCTCAAGACAGCAGCCATGTGTGCTGCATACAGCCTACCCCTAAAATATGCACTTTGCATGAAAGAAGACAATGGGAATCTCTAACCCAAAGTTCCTTTCTTCCCCCTTCTGGTTGAGTCCTTTAGCAACATGAGCATGTTCCTATGAGCATGGGTGGACAGTTCAGTGCAAACACCCACTCTACGCAGTGTATGTGCCCTGCCAGCAATAAAACTGAGCCACAAGGAAGGACTGGGACCTAGAAGTGTGCACAGTGGCTTGGATCTGGGAAGAAGCCCTGCCAGTCCTGAGTGGTGGGATTTTGGTGCTTTGTGAAGGAAACACAGAGTCCTTGGAGCCCAGAGAAGCAACCTGAAATCGGATCTGGCTGTGCATGTTCGGACATCCCAGTTAGCAAAGAGGAACACATCCAGGCAGAAGGGCCTGCTAAGATAGAAGCCCCTGAATGCTCCAGGTTTGGGGCAGCTCCTTGTTGTGGGACTATCGCCATGGTGACCCCAGGATGAGTTCTATGGAGAGGTCCTAGGCCTGCACAGCTTTTTCTGTGAATTGGAAAGTCTTGGGCCTGAGCTCCTTCCTTTATACACCCAATGTGGAGGATTCTGTGATCCCTTTTGTCATTACTGGTAGTTCAATTTCAGAGAGTGGACCAAGATGTTCCAAAAGAAAAGTATAGAAAATATTGAAATGAGCATAAAGGTTTATAACTCAGCCTTTTAGTCCAAAGAATGAACAACGTGAGATTCTGGTTCATAAACATTGTGGTTAAGAGTTGTTTATCTTTCACAGGTGACAAATTACTGCCATAAATGGTACACATCATTATTATATACAAACAACACTTATTATGGGAAAGTGGACATGCCAGGTAAGCCAGAAAAATTACATTGAAAATTTTTACAGTATTAAAATTTCAAATGTCATTTTTTGGGACTGGAAAACCACTTCCAGGTGCTTTGAATTGCTGGCTTCCTGACAAGTTTGGATGAGAGCAGGTAATAATGGCTTTTTCTGGGGTCATGTCACAAAGCTTGGAGTGTCCACTCACTCACACACATGTGGGTGCAGCTAACACCGGACACAGAGTCACATGCACCATTCCCAGCACTGACCTGTCCTTCCATGTCTGGTGCAATGGGGATGGTAGGCCAGAAGACTGAGTAGACGCCAAAAAATACAAGCCAGATCAGCATGCTTCCCCACACAGCCAAGTGACTGAACTGTGGAGAAAATAGATGCTTAGTTAGTGTTAGGTTCCACCTCAACTCCATCTGTTCAGAATCCCTATGTCCACGCTGCAGAAAGACTTCCTGAGGGTAAGATTTTGTCCACTAGTCACTGGAGAGTTCTGTCTTTCTAGTTCTCTTATTTCTAAAGCTTTGATGATGCATTTGAGTACCCAGTGGCCCTAGACTCTTCTGGAGGTGAAAGTGCTTCTGTGTCACAGCCGACCTTCCTCCAAGAACCATGGCCTACTGCCAGCAGGCCCTGCTCCACCTTGGGGCTGCGTAAGGCAAGAGCACACAGGCTAGTGAGCAAGAGGGAGAGCAGAGAGCCTGCAAGATGCTCTTAGGTGTCACCCGGAGACTTTCATTGATCCGTTCATTTGGCAAACTGGTTTCTAAAAATGCTGGAATGGATGTTGTACTTTTTAAGTCTTTAAATTTTATTTACTATATTTAAACATTTACATTATAATTGCACATGTTAACAGAGTGCAGCATGATATGGTGTTCTGGTACACGCACACACTGTGCAGTGACAGGTCAGGGCAGTGCCCTATCCTTTGCCACAAGATTGATTGTTTCTTTGTGTTGGGCACATTCAAGATGTTTCTTGCAGTCGTTTTGACATATACAGTAATAGTTGCCAGCCACAGTTATCTTGCTTGTTACAGAACAATAGACATTGCTTTTCTTCTCCAACTGCTCTCCTACACATTCACTCTCCTCTCCCTTTCCTTCTCTTTCCCCTACTCTTCCTAGGCTCTGAGAAACCACTATTCTTCTCTCTACTTCTATGAGATCAATTTGGATATTATATTTAATGTCTTCCTATCTATTGAGTTATTAAATATTTTCTCCTTTATGTTCTTAGTATAATCCTTGAGTTAATCCTTTCTTTTATCAATTCATCACAATTCAATGCATTACTTACTTTCTAAAAAAGACCTGTGTATTTTTATTTTAATTAATTAATTAATTAATTAATTTGGTACAGGGTCTTGCTATACAGCTTGGACTCATATTGATCTTCCCATCTCAGCCTCTCCTGGCATGGCATGTGACACCAAGGATGGAATCTGGGTCCTTGCACTTCCAGGCAGGAGCTTAGACCACCATGCTATCTCCCCAGCCTCCCACAAAGACCTGTCAAAAAGGACAATATTTCCAAAATTATTTATGACTCTTTACCTTCTCCTTCAGCATTGCCTGCTAGATCACCATCACCTTTCACTAGGAATATCTGCCGTTGATCCTAACAGAGTCCTGCAGACCTCCCATTCCCATGCAAAATCTTAGTACAGCATGAGATAAGTCTATATGAAAACCATCCAGGATTTGACACCACATGAGACACAAATAGGAAGCATATGGTGTATTCCCCAAAGGTTGAAAGTGATCAACATGCCAAAACCAGAGTGCTAATAAAATAAATGTGTGATATCTATGAAACTTAATATTTTTTAATCATGAACAATATATTTTTATACAAGTACAATCAAACACATTTTTAGGGGAAAAGGATTATAAAACTATTTTATAATGCATTAATTCAAAAAACGTATAAACATAGGTCTTAGTGTGTCTTACTGGTAAAATTATATGAAGATGTAAATTTTCATTTGTCCTTTTGTATTTCCCACAAATGTGTGTGTGTGTGTGTGTGTGTGTGTGTGTGTGTGTGTGTGATCATAATAATGAACACAACACTTGAATGAGGAGACTCCCAACAGCTCTGAGCTCTGTTAGGTGCCATGCAAGTGAGACACCAGGAAATGCTGGATTACACATTTGTTCTAATAAAGGTTCAAACTACAATTTTTATTTACAGACTGTACAATAAAGGAGTGAGATATATTTTATTGTTTTGATAAAGCTTAAAAAGAAATCATAGCATATATATACATATAAAAATTCTGGAGAAAAACTCACTTTAGTCCAAGCTGTAGTCTCCAAACCAGCTTTCAGACAAACTGTAACAACAACGTACTGTGAAAAGAAAGAGAATTTTGATGAAAAATATGTCATCCTTAGTGCATTCGTTTCACTTTGCAAAAGCCCGGGTCTCCCCTCCCAAGCTGGCTCCTCCATGGCATGACCAGCCTGTTTTCAAAGGAGAGGTAAAAGTGATCAGAACCTCATGGGTACATGCATCAGTAACCCTGGCCGAAGGTAAATGCAATGTATTGGAACATAGACTAAAACAGCAAGCAAGCAAACAAACAAATCATAGGAAATTAGTGCCATCTCTATAGCTAAATTTTCTTGGAATTATTTTTAGGGAATGAACATGTAGGTTTTTCTCAAGAAAAGCCCTCATTCTAGTGAATAACTTCATACTAGTAAGAGTTTTGCCCTTTCTTGGTCCATTTGAGAGAAATCACTTTCTTGAATGAGCTTTAAATTACAAGTAGGTGGAAGTGGTCATTTTCAAAACAAAGAACTCTGCTAACCAGATTTCTGGAAACTTGGACTCTGCAAAATCTCTGCTACATAATGATGTGAGTGCTGCCCAGCCACTCTGAACTTTAAGGAATGTATAACATATAAGGTTTAAAATAATTATAGTGAGAAGAGCCTTACATAAAGGGACTGGGTGAGTATAACTCTCACATCCACCACGTAAGAATCTCTCAATGCACAGAGATAAACTTACCGTGTAAACAATATTTCCAACAAATAAATAGTCTGTAGCATGACCATTGGACAAGGGAGTATCTGAAAAACAGATAGGTTACTATTAGTTTCCAAGGAACTGAGGTGGCAACCTATTTTATTCAGAATATGAAAACAGAACTTTAAAAACATCTATCAATATGGGAAGCACTGCAAAATTGATTTTAGGGGCTGGCGAGATAGCTGAGCGGTCTAAAGCACAGGCTTAGGCAAGCTTAGGCAACTGTGGGGACCAACGTTTGATCCCTGGCACCACATGTCATATGAGCCCTGCCCCCAGGGCAGGCTGAGCCAGCCACAAACAACAACAACAACAACAACAACAACAACAACAAAATAAAACAAAACAGATTCCAAACACTCATTCTTTGCAATTATGCATTTTTCACTTTATAGTCTCTTCCAATGAAGCAAACAAAATAAGGTTTCCAAGAAAACAACCTAATTATCGATCTACATTGAAATATATATTTTATAAAGATTATAATCTCTGTCTGGTCTTTACAAAGGGCAGAAATAATAATGATCTACTTTAATTAAGTGCCAGCAATGAAAGTTTGTCAAATACTTATCTTTAATTTTGCTAAATTGGAAATGCACATCAATAAAAGAAGACAATGATATGGATTCAAAATCAATTTATCATGACTGAACTGTAGTTTGAGGATATTCATTACTCCTGGGAGCTCTCATTTCTAGTTCCATTAAGTTCTGTGGCCTAGCTATAGGCAGAATACAGAGAAAACAGTGAGAGATGTTAGAAACATAACTGGGATGTTGGAGTTTCAGGCGTCATGTCTTTTTCTCACTATGGCTATTACAAGGTATGTCATACCTACTAGAGCAGAACTCAACCAGAAATGTCTAATTCACTCAGCTAGACCTGCTCTGAGGACTCTGGCTCTTATCCTAGGAGGTAAGAGCTTACTTGAAGATCAGAAATAGTTTCCTTGGATGAACCTCCTTTTAATCACCTTTGTACTCAAATCCAGAGCAGTGACCCCCAGGCTGGGGATAAAGTTGATACCTTGCTCCTTGTGATTCTTAGTTCTGAGAGGCAAGGCAAGTACCAAAGAGATGAGTGCGAAACCAGCCATGTTTGCTGGAAAGGGAAAAGAATCATGAGGTAATTCACTCCGACAAGTTCCATCTTTCCTGTCAGGTACCAAAGAAACAAGTACTAAATAAAGGACAAGTGCCATGACAAAATTTTCCTGGCAAAATGGGTCAAGTTCCAAATTCAAGGATCAAAGCAGTAGAGTACCAACGTATGACTGTATAGAGATGGGGGAGGGCAGAAGTGATTTTGCTTTTATTTCTGTCACTCTAGCTCAGTTGTATAGAGATTTTTGTGTTGACTTTTCCACCCCACAGCTACTGTCCATACATATCTTGGTTTATTAATTTGTTCATCCAGTTGTTGAAGAGTCCCACCCTTAGTAAACATTCAAAAGCTGTTCATTGCCCTAGAACATTGTAAGCGGCTTCATAGGTAGAATCTGGTCATTGTGGGTCCCTGGCTCCCACACTGGGGCTCATCCTTTCTGGTGCTGTAAATTTGTGGGTACATAAGGAGTAAATAGCAAATGGCTTCAGGAAGGCTCTCAGTTGAGAAATTTCTATTGGGTCATCAAAGAGTGACACTAAGGAAAAAGACAAATATGGCCACAGATTTAAAAAGGAATGATTTCACAGCTTAGGGGAGAAGTAGTACAGTATGAGAAGCTGAGGTAGGATTGCAGTAAAAGAGAAAAAGAAAATCTAAAAAGAGAAAGGCTAAATTAATCTCAAGTAGATAATGGACTAATGTATAGCTGCAACATACTTAATCTGAAAGTCCAGAATCTAAACTGCTCCAAACATTTACTGGAACATTTTACTTTTGGATTGGGGGCATTCCATTAGCAGTGTCTCCAAAAATATCTGAAATCTGAAATACTCTGGCCACAAGCATTTTGGATAAAGGATAGGCAATTTGTATTAGTAAACAGTTACTCAAATCTGTTGAGTTTTGCTTTTCAGTAACTGTCCCTCAGATGGTTTTAATAATAAAAGCAACACTTCGGAAGATATCCTCAAGAAAGAAACACTTGAGATTAGATTGGACCATTTCTTTGACTCTAACAGAATATAGCTTTGAAAGGAATAATGTAACAAATACTTCCTTAAAATCAACAATGAGCAAGGAATTATTATAGGGTCTGAAGAGAAAAGGTTCTTGTCTTTATGGAGTTTGTAAACCCAATTGTTCCTGGTTTGTGAACTGAGGCACAGCTATACATTTTTATACTTAAATTAATTAAAATAAAGTATAACAAAGAATCCATTTCTGCCAGGGGTTCTGGAGGAGAGGAAGAATGAGTTGTTTCTTAAGAAGTATTTTCAGTTTGAGGTAATGAAAAACTTAAGCGGTGATGTTGTAAAATATGCTCAGTGTAACTAGTGCCTCTATACACTTCAAACAGGTAAAATAAAAAACTTCATTATATTTATTATATGTTAATAATATATATCTATTAGAAAATTAACAAAGGTGGATAATGGAACCCCAAATATGTAACTCTTAGGATAAAACAGCAGCAAACTATATTGGTCTTGATTTAGCAATGGTTTTCAAGACATAGTACTAAGATAACAATAGCAAAAGACACCAGTACATGAATCAGACTTCATCAAAATTACAAATATTTTCACTTTATTTATTTATTTACTTTTTTGTGGTACCAGGGATTGAACTCAGGATCTTCGCTTATTCTACTGAGCTATCTCCCTGGCCCAACGTTTTCACTTTAAATGACATCTTCAAGAAACTGAAGTGGGCCGGGGAGTGGCTCAGTGGAATAAGCGCTTCCCTGGCAAGCGCAAGAGCCTGAGTTCAATCCTCGGATCAGAAAAAAAAAAAAAAAAAAAAAAAAAAAAAAACTGAAGAAACGTGAAGGATGGACAAAGTATTTATAAATTATATATTCAATAAATAACTTATATCCAGGACAAAGAACTCTTAAAACCAAGCAATAACAAGATCCCCCCTAAAAAGTGTCTACATAAACATTTTTGCAAAGAAGATATAGACAAAATAAGTGTATGAAAGAAGCTAAGCATCACTGTGCACGGAGGAACACAAACTCAAAACCACAATAAAATATCATTTAATATCCGCTGGGACACCTATAATAAAAAAGGCAAATATGAAGAGTCAATGAAGATGTGGAAAAACGGAAACTTCTATCCACTGAAAATAGGAAAGTAAAATTTGAATCCATGCAGACACTGTGAAATGTGCATGTATTTCCTCAAAAGATTATGCATATTTATTCTGTAACTCAGCTATTCTAGACCTCGGTACACACCCAAGAAAAATGAAACTTTGACAAAACACACAAAAATGTGTACTTAAATGCTCATAGGAGGATTATTCATAATTACTCACGCTCGTCAGAGCCTGACATAATGAATAGTATTATTCATCGTGCACAAGAGCCCATTCATAACCCAGTGTCCATCAACTGGTGAAGAGCAAATAAATGCCCATCAGTGGGTGAATGGTCTATACTACAATAGCAACACAATTAAATAATACAAAGGAATGAAGTAGCAAAGCATGCTATAATGTGGAAGACTCCTGGAAACCTTATGAAAAATGAAAAGTAGACATAAATGGCCACACATTATATAACTATTTGTATAAAATATCCAGAATCAACAAATTATAAAGACAATGTAAATCACTGGCTGTTCAAGGGTTGGGGGATGTTCAGGGACAATGAGAAATGACAGGTTTTGGGGGTGATGAAAACATTTTTGAATTAATTACAATGATGGTTATACAACTCTGTCAATATATTCAACCCCAAAGAACTGTACTTCAAAAGGGTGAATAATAAGGTCATATAAATAATATTTCAAAAAAATTCTTTTTTTTTAATTTTTTTTTATTTATTATTTAAGAGAGAGAGAGAGAGAGAGAGAGAGAGAGAGAGAGAGTGGTGTGTGTGTGGCCAGCTCAGCCCACCAGGGGGCGGGGCCGGCTGGCATGTGGTGCTGGGGGATTGAACCGCGGTCCCTGATGCCTTGCCAAGCTTGTTCTAAGTAGGTGCTTTAGACCACTGAGCCATCTCTCCAGCCCCTCAAAAAAATTCTTATAAAAAAACTCTTCCTTAGTCATATTAGCTGCATTTCAAATGTTTAATTGTCACACACTGGATGAGGCTGCACAGGCACAAAACATTTTCATTTTCCTCAAAGTTCTCTTGGGCAATGCAGGGCCAGAATGGGAATGTTTAAGGTGATAAGAAGAGATAGAGAGTGACAACTATTTTGAAGGTAAAAATGAAAATGATTTATTATGATTTAAATATGAGGTATACCCCCAAAGATTTATGTATTGAAGGCTTTATCCCCAGTACCAGAAGGTTCCGGGTTGGAGCCCCACAAAGACACACTGAGGTAACTAGACAATGAATACCTGATTGGGAGTTAGGCCCAGGTAGGGCAGGTAGTTTGTGGGGGTGGGGAAGGATGTGTGTCTGAAGTGCACACCATATCTCTGGTCCTTGCCTTCTTCTGCTTCCTGGCTGCTATGAGGTGAGCAGATTCCCTCTGCCACATCCTCTCTAGCATGGTGCTCTATCTCATCATGGCCCAGAAACAAAAGGAGCCAATTAACTGCGGCTCACAAAAAGTAAAAAGTAACTGCGTCAGAAGTAAATCTCTCTTCGAGCTGATTTTCTTAGGTCTGCCACAGTGACAAAAACCTGACTCACATATTAGCATTTGCTTCTGATTTGGATGTAAGAATGGTAATGCCTAAGTTTTTGGCCCGAGCACTGAGGTAAACAGTAGTGTTATTCACTTGGGACAAAAAACAATGATTCTGGTCATGTAGGCACAGGAATATTGATTAGAAGAGTAGTTCATGAGGACTTGGTACCATGTATTTAATATTTTAAATTCATAGTAGGAAGAACAGGTAACAGTGAAATATACTACGTTACAAGAAAGAGATGTTTAAAATGGAGAGGGGGAGGAATTGAGGTTAGAAC